TTGAGGACCAAAGGACATAAAGAATGTGGAAGCTCTCTGGAAACAACTGATAAATTGTAATTATGACTACCTGCACTATTCTGTGCATACACGGCCCTGGGAAGACATTTGGTGCCTGGGGATGGACTTGTCTTGGGTGCTCTGAGGGAGCTCTCCTTCTTATTGAGTCCTCTGGAGCAGGGCTCTCAAAAGGTACTGAATGCCAGCCCTGAGATGATGGAAAATAACATAAATAAGATCCCATGGGGAACTAAGTTTGGGAAATGCTGTATATTACACCCCCTATTGAGAGTTATATTTAACACATTAAAGGCCTTCAAAGGTTCTGCAGTAAAAACATCATCAATAACCATTGTTGTTGTTGTTAAGTGCTGTCGAGTCGTTTCCGACTCATAGTGACCCCATGCACAGCAGAACAAAACACTGCCCGATTCTGCGCCAGCCCCACAATCCCTGCTATACTTGAGCCCATCATCGCAGCCACCATGTCAATCCATCTCATTGAAGGCCTCCCTCTCTTTCGTCGACCCTCCACCCTACCAAGCATGACATCCTTCTCCAGGGAATGGTCCCTTCTGACAACATGACCAAAATAGGTGAGATGAAGTCTGGTCATTCTTGCTTCCAAGGAGCATTCTGGCTGCACTTCCTCCAGGACAGATCTGTTAGTTCTTTTAGCAGTCCATGGTATTTTCAGCATTCTTCGCCAGCACCACAACTCAAAAGCATCAACTCTTCTTCGGTCTTCCTTATTCATTGTCCAGCTCTCACATGCATACGAGGCGATTGCAAATATCGTGGCTTATGTCCTCAAGGAGATATCCTTGCTCCTCAGCACTTGATACAGTTCCTTCGCAGTTGACTTTCCCAATGCTACACATCGTCTAATGTCCTGACTGCTGCTCCCGTTGGCATCGATTGTAGAACGAAGCAACATGAATTCTTTGACAACCTCAATCTTCTCTCCATTTATTGTGATGCTGCTCATTGGTCCAGTTGTGAGGATTTTTGTTTTCTTTATATTGAGATGTAATCCATACTGCAGACTGTATTCTTCAACCTTCATCAGTAGGTGCCTTAAGTCATCCTCACTTTCAGCAAGCAAAGTTGTATCGTCTGCATATCTCAGGTTGTTAATGATTCTTCCTCCAATCCTGATACCACATTTTTCTTCATATAGTCCAGCTTCTCGGATTATTTGCTCGGCATATAGATTGAATAAGTGTGGAGACAGAATACAACCCTGACGCACTCCCTTCTTGATTTTAAACCATGTAGTGTCCCCTTGTTCTGTTCGAATGGCAGCCTCCTGGTCAAGGTACAGATTCCTCATGAGTACAATCAAGTGCTCGGGAATTCCCATTCTTCTCAATGTTATCCATAACTTTTCATGATCCACACAATCAAATGCCTTTGCATAGTCAATAAAACACAAGTAAACATCTTTCTGGTATTCTTTGCCTTGAGCCAAGATCCATCTGACAACAGCTATGATATCCCTTGTTCCACATCCTCTTCGGAATCCAGCTTGAACCTCTGGAAGTTCTCTGTCAATATACTGCTGCAAACGTTTCTGAATTATCTTCAGTAAGATCTTACTTGCGTACGATATTAATGATCAATAACTAGCTCAAGTTTATTGAGTCCACTATTTGCCAAGTGTATTAGATTCCTAAGGCTGCAGTAACCAAGTGCCACAAGCTGGGTAGCATATAAGAATAGAAATTAATGTCTCACAATGTTGGAGACTAGAAGTCCAAACTCAAGAAGTCCAGACTCCAGAATAGGGCCATGCTCTGTTGAAGGCTCTAGGAAAGAATCTATCCTACAATTTTCTCTCAGCACCTAGTGGTTTCAGTAATCCTTGGCATTTCCTGGCTTATAAACAAATCACTCCAATCTCTGCCTTCATCATCATTTGGTGTTTTCCCTGTGTGTCTGTGTCCAAATATCCTATCAGTCTCTAGGTTAGGGCCCACCCTAATCCAGTATGACTTCATCTTAACAATGATTTGTGCATAATTCATCTGTGCAAAAGCCCTACTTCCAGATAAGGTCACATTCACAGGTTCTGGGGCTTAGGATTTCAACATATCTTTTGCGGGGCACAATTCCACTCACAATACCAAGTCTATTGAACTTGAAGCTCTTTCATCAGGTATCACCCAGTAATATCCAATGACAGGAATGTTCTATAGAACATTCCTTTAAATAGTATCTCTCTGGAACCAAAGGACTTATGCTTCACTTGTATATTACTAGGGCAGGATTAACATGAAAAGAAAATAATGCAAAACACATTTATAACTCACATTTAATTCAAGAAACAATTGTTGCACAACTTCTGTATGTCAGGCTCTGGGTAGGACTATGGGGAATATACAGGTGAATTAGAAGAGGAAGTGTCTGCCCTCAAGAATGAATAACCTGATAGAATCTCTTAATTCAAATAGAGCACATAAGCCAAACATTTCAAGAAAGAGAATTGGAAGGTATGAGGGAGGTGGTATTTGACAAAGTTGAAGAACAAGGAACCTATCCATTGCAGGGAAAGTGTGAATGAGGCCAGAGATAAGAAAGTGGGAACTGTAAAACCTCCGCATCTAAGGCTGGGAGGGTAGAAGGAGAAATAAGGCAGAGAACAAGTCTGAGGTGCACAGTACGTTCAAATCACCTTACAATCCCCAGCTCCACTTGTGATTTAGCCTGAACCCCACCCCCAGTGCTAATATTAGCCACTCTCACTTGACAGAATTAGTCAAGGGTTTCCAGAAGTCATATGTGTAAAGTTGCAGTCAGTCATCTGTTTGTAGCACTGAACTCTGAATGTAGCTGATATTCCTGAGTCAGATGTAGTATTAAAACTAAACAAAACTGTAACAGGAAAATATCTTAGGTTCTTGGTCAGGAAGCTACCTCTCCAGACCTAGAGGCCCTACTCCAAAATTCCTGGGCATGGTAAGAACTGGGCAAGAAAATTCAGAGCATTAATTATTTATACCTTTTTCACTTCCACGTCAAGATGAAACTAAAGGAATGAACTTCAAGTGTGTGCTACCCGACAGGAATGTTTTATTTTTGTTTGTAGGAATAATAATTGACTGAAACATTCACAGTAACTCTATTATTTTTATACTTATATACATTGTTCTGGAGAAGATTAACAATCCCACAGCCCAAGTGGTGAATTCTCAGACCCCAAACCACCTGGAGCCAACCTGCAAGGTCCCACCCTTCTGTCCTTCCTGCCAGGATATAAGCATTCACATTCACACACTGGGCTATTTCAGGAACTCTCAACACTCAACTTTGACATAAACAAGTAAGAAAGACATCACCTTGCTCACAATAGTAAGGAAAAAAACTTATCTGATATCAGGAAAAATTTGCCACTACAAACCCAAAGCAAATGCTCCTAGTCAGTCAGCTGTGAAAGCTGGAAACCAGAAGGAGTTGGGGGCTGGAGAATGGATGAGTTGAATACAGGCTGACTATGACTTCGATCATCTTCCACACACTCTCAATATGCTGGGGACTTGCAGCCTTAAGTTCAATCAGCTCTTTTTATGTCTTTGAGTAGAACTACACATAGTCCTCTTATTCCCCTAGCTTTACTATTTAAAGACATTCCCAACACAAGTACAGTAAGATTCCAAAAACATTGTTTATATGTGACATCATGATGCAAATTAATTCTAAACATTCATACTCAGAGGACTGACATGAAGAGAACATTACTCAAAACCAAAATTCATGTCAATCTCACCTTCTCTTATGGCTATTTCCTTCCACTTTACATGGTTATCTCATTGTGACTACAACTTTCATTAAGAAATGTGCCTTTCCTGCCCAACTTTCATCCAGTTTTGATATCCAAACAATGTAGTTTTCTCTGTGGAGACACTTCTAAGGACACTGAGTACAAAAGCAAAGGCAATGGCAAATGGGAAAGGAAATCAGAAAGTCCATCCTATAGCCAGGTCATCCAAATCCTTTAGAACGCAGGGTTCAACACCATGGACAGCAGCAAACAACCAATTTGAATATTCACCAATAAAGAAGCTATAGAAAGTTTGGGTTCCCAAGCTCTAGAAACACACTTTGATAATGTGGCCATCATATGTTTTTCACTGTGGTACATGAAATTAGAACTAACCAGGAGTTGAGGATATGTTAGACATAGAAATCAATATGGAACTTGCTTGCTCTTTTATTAGATAGTCACTCTTTTTGGAGAGCATTCCAGAGGGAAAAATGTGATTGAAGCTAAAATCAAAGGCCACAGCCTAGACCAAGAACTCATTTTGGTTTGTGACTTCATCCTCCCATCCCTTCAATAAAGAGATGATTGGTGATGATTCCATAAATCATCCAAAGATATATTTTTATTAAAGACAAAGTATTGCTGAAAGTGAATAAAGGAAACTTCAATTTCCACTAAAAGATTTCAGAAATTACCACCCATATATGCTTACCTCAGAGACCATAAAACAATTGTGCTAGAGGAATGCTGGCGGGAAAATAGAACATCATGGAATTGTTTTCAAAAGGAAAATTAATTAGTTATTTTTATTTCAGCTTAGCTGAAGCTGTAAAAATCTAGTCAGAAATATTTTTCACAGTGGAATCTCTTCCCAGATATTGAAATACCTCAAACAACAAGCCATTTTTTTGTTGATGTTGTTTCTGCTGGATGAAACTAAATAATTACTTCAGACTTCACTCAAAAATGAGGCTTCTTTTCAAGAGACTGTAAACATGATCTTGAATGAGCTAGTTTCCCTAAACTTCACTTCTGATACTTGAAGGTAGAAGACATAGTTTTCGCAAGCAAACCTGATTCAGTTCTTGTAATCTGTAGAAGCGAGTGTCAAGTACTCAGCACCCAGGAAAATTTCAAAGAACAGGTTGCTCACAAGTCTGAAGTTCATCTTAGTTTCAACAAATTACTTCTAAAATGTCAACACTGAGAATGCAATAGATGAAGTATTTTCCCCTACCTTCTCTTCTTGTGACTTCAAAGCTTCTGGACTCCTGCAAGAAAAGAAAAACTGTGTTTTTGAAGAATAATTCATATGTACAGATACTTGCAAATATTTCACCTCTTAGTCACATTTTCACAAAAAGGTGAACAATATAACACTCAAACAAAGTTGGGTCTATTAAACTCTCAATACATACAATCTATAAATGTAAACACACAAGTTAGCATCTTGCCTTGGGGACTTAATACAAAAAATAGATTACTGATTACACAGCTTTTAATGAACACAGCCAAGTCTTATGGCTTCCCATATGCTATATTTGGGCTGATATCCAGTGTTAAGGAAGATCCCATTCCAGGCTGATGCCCTGCCCTCTGTCTGGAGTGTAGATGCTTATAGGGATGAGGGAAAACAGAAATCAGCAGGAACCAGAATAATCTGACCAGCTGCAGGTTCTGCTTTGTGATGCCATATTGAAGACCTCTATTGCCTATGTGGATCATTGACTTGATCTGATGACTGATTGTGTTCAACTCACTAATTTTCCAAGAGGGAGATCTTACGCACAACTGGGATAGCTAGCCCATGTCATTGTCCTAAATTAAGCCTTTGCTTTTTCTTAATTCAATTCTATATTTATTAATGCCTGCTAACAACATGTGCAGGACAATAAGAAAAGCATTTCAGAAGTTACATAGGTATATTACAGTCTCTAAATTCAAGATACTCACAGTTAAACAGGGGACTATAGAACAAAAACAAATTACTGAGAAATAAAAGGATGATTTTACTTTAATGAACACTAGTATATTCACATGTAGCTGGAAACATAAAGAAAGCGATTTTATCACTGACTTTTGACTCTTGAGAATAGCACTGAAGAATGGGGAAGGATTTTAGACAGGAGTAGGAGAGGGAAAGTCCATCAGGATGAGAGAATGGTATAAGAAAATGTTGGGGGGGAGTGCACAGGGTATGCTCAGGAAAAAGGAAAAGGCCAAGTGAGAAGGAATGGGAAGAAAAGTCTAGAAATGTATATTGTGGCTTTATAACCAATACAAAACATGAATAATTCATTGTAAGTGACCAGCATAGGATTAAAATTCTAGTTTTGAAAATCCATGCTAGAAAGTAAAGAAGAAAGAAGAAAAAACACCAAACTTGAGCCATCACCTCATCATTATGTCCAAGAGAATCATTCAGTATCAGCATTTTTTAAGCTAATGGCATTATAGTTCACATTTTAACATTCTTGTCTACCATCTTTTTGTGGTCAGGAAGTTGTTATGTGCCGTCAAGTCAGACTTGACTCATAGCAACCACTCCTTGGGTTTCCGAGGCAGTATCACTATGGAAGTAGACTGCCCCATCTTCCTTCTGAGGAGTGGCTTGTGGGTTTGAACTGCCAGGCTTCTGGTTAGCAGTCAAGTGCCTTAGGCACTACACTTCCAGAGTTCCCTGTGGTCAGGAAGGAGAGGCAGCATTAGAGATGAAACTCTAATGAAAAGTTCACCTTACCAGAATGACACTCACTGACTGCCGTTTCCCTAATGAGTCAAATGCCCAAGGGGAGATCATTGCAAGGTACGTGTTATAGGCCAACTCTACTTCCACAAAGATTTATTGCCTCGGAAAACCCAATGGGGGTTGCTGTGAGCTAGAATCGACTCAACAGCAGTGGGTTTGGGGTTTTGTTATCCATCAGCACAGGACAATTATCCAAATGAATGCTGGTACCTTAACGGGCATTCGTTAGGTCAGTGTTTAGAAGAGAGGGCATGAAGAGTGGTAAGTATAATGAGAGATGTGCAAGCCATGAAGTAAATCAGGCACAAAAGCAAATCCCATCTACTCCCAAACTGCTCCTTGGGTTACTTGCTCTTGGGGCCAACACCTCCATTCCTGGCAATAACTGCTGTTGTTCTGTGTTATTGAGTCAATTCCAACTCATAGTGATCCTACAGGACAGAGTAGAACTGCTCCATAGGGTTTCCAAGGCTAAAATTTTTGTGGGAGCAAATTTCCAGGTTTTTTTCTCCCACAGGGTGGCTGGTAGGTTTGAACCACCTACCTTTGGGTTAGCAGTTAATCAATTAATTACTACACCACAAACTTGGGAATAACTAGAATCAGTGTAATAGGAGATATTCATAATCAACTTTTACAACATCAGAAAAAAATTTGATGGAATTTTTTTGGATTACATAAAATTTAATCAGTTAATTTAGGGAAAGCTGATGTCTCTTGGAACATAAAATTCCATAATTAATTTAGGGAAGCTGATGTCTATATAACGTGTACCTTCTTATCTAATAGAATGGATTTTCTAATTATTTGTTAAAATATGTTTTTGTTTCTTTAAAGAGTGCTTTATAATTTTACTTATGAATATTCTGAGTAAGGAGCCCTATGGCACAGTGATTAAGCACTCAGCTGCTAACCAAAATGTTGGTGGTTCGAACTCCTCAGCCACTCTGTGGAGAAAGATGTGGCAGGCAGCTACTATAAAGATTACAGCCTTGGAAACCCCATGGGTCAGTTTTACTCTGTCCTATAGGGTCACTATCAGGAGCTCTGGTGGCATAGTGCCTAAGGCATTTGACTGCTAACCAGAAGGCTGGTGGTTGAAACCTACCAGCCACTCCTAGGAAGGAAGGCTGGGCAATCTACTTCTGTAGTGATACTGCCTCGGAAACCCAAGGAGGGGTCGCTGTGAGTCAGGTCTGACTTGACAGCACCTAACAACAACATGACTCTAGTTGCTTTCTCTTGTCTTATTCCTTTGGCTAATCCTTCAACTCAATATTAAATTGTTGTGGAGATAGTGGGAATCCTTACCTTGTTTCTGTCTTTAAAAGAAAACCTTCAGTGTTTCTTCATTAAGTAAGATACTGATTGTATGTTTATTATATTAAAGACATCAATGTAAATTTCATTGAGTTTTTTTCAATAAATTATATTCTAGGTAAAAGTAGCATATTCCCTTACTCATTTATTTATTGACTATTCCCCTCTACTGGAATATGAGCTGAGAGAATACCGCTATCTTTTTCAGTCTTACATCCTCAGAGTTGTAATAGAGCAGACAGTCAATGCAATTTATCAAATAACAAAAAATATATGTGTGATGAATTTCATCAAATATGTTTCATGCAATTATAGTGATGATAATATGATTGCTTCCTCCTTGGTTCTATTAATATGATCACTTATATAGTTGATTTCACAATATTCAACTATCCCTGTATTTCTGGACTAAACTCTTATTGATCCTCATGTATTTTTAAAATATGTTATCATAATCTGTTTGCTGTTACTCAAAATATGTTTTTGCATTGCTATTCATATATGAAATTGGCCTATAATTTTCAGGTAACATTTTTCCTAAGATTTAGGAATTAAAATAATACCAGCTTCACATAATGAACTTGGAAGTTTTCCTTTTACTATATTCTAAAATAGTGTAAATAAATTTAAGACTATCTGATCTTTAAAGGTTTTTTTCACTTCCTTTCTCAGATATTGATTAAAAGGGGAGGAAGCAGAAGTTCACAGATGTCAAATTTGTCTAAGGTCTAACATTTGGTCAGTGGTTAGCTGTGATTCTGTCTGATTCCAAAGCCTATACACATAATGGCATATTGTTTTTGTTGTTGTTATGTGCCATCAAATCGGACCTGACTCATAGTGACCCCTCCTTGGGCTTCTGAGGTGGTATCATTATGGGAGTAGATTGCCCAACCTTCCTTCCAAGGAGTGGCTGGTGGGTTTGAACCACCAGCCTTCTGGTTAGCAGTCAAGTGCCTTAGGCACTATGCTACCAGAGCTCCCTAATAGTATATTAGATTGATACAAAATAACATTCTATATAATACTACTTAATTTATAGGGAAGTTGTGGAAATTACATGATATGGAATTCTGATTTAGGTTATGAAAGAGTAGTTTGCATTAGACTAACACCTTTCCTAAGAAGAACTATAAATTTTGAATAAAAAATAAAAAAATTTTTTAGGCATCTGAGAACATCAAAGGCAGACAAGATTCAAAGGGTCAAGGTTTTGAAGGGCAGATAAATCGATTGAGATGAGCCCTATATGCACTGCCACATTTTTCCCTTTATTTACTGCTTTGCACAGAGATCAAAAAGAAAGTGATGAGCTAGAGCTTTAAGTATCACTGGGCTGAGAGACAACAATTAGTGACCAGAGCTACCAAAACAGTTAGAACTTGAAAGTTGCAAATCTTGGAAAACGGTGAATTCAGAGAAACGTGACCCTGATATTCTACACGCAATTTCCTCCTTAGTTGTTCCTAAAATGTGTGTGTGTTGTTGTTGCTGTTGCTGTGGTTGTTCTTGTTCTTAGAGGATGTGGAGCTGGCTCCAACTCATAGCTACTCTATGTATAACAGAATGAACACTGCCCATTCCTGTACATGCTCACAATGGTTGTCTTGTTTGAGTCCATTGTTGCAGCCACTGTATCAATCCATCCCATTGAGGGTCTCCCTCTTTTTCGCTGACCCTCTACTTTACCAAGCATGATATCCTGCTCCAGGGACTTGTTTCTCCTAATGTATGATCAAAGTATGTGAGACAAAGTCTCAACCATTCTTATTTCTAAGGAGCATTCTGGCTGTATGTCTTCCAAGACAGATTTGTTCATTATTCTGGCAGCCCATGGTATATTCAGTATTCTTGAAGAACACCATAATTCAAATGCATCAATTCTTCTGTGGTCTTTCTTATTCATTGTCCAGCTTTGGCATGCATAGAGGGTGATTGAAAATACCATGGCTCAGGTCAAGCAAACCTTAGCCTTCAAACTGACATCTTTGCTCTTTAACACTTTAAAAAGATGTTTTGCAGCAGATTTCCCCAGTGCAATACACCATTTGATTTCTTGACTGATATTTCCATAGGCATTGATCGTGGATCCAAGTGAAATGAAATTCTTGACAACTTCTATCTTTTCTCCATTTATCATGATGTTACTTACTGGTCCAGTTGTGAAGATTTTGTTTTCTTTATGTTGAGATATAATCTATA